TTTATAATTACATTTTGCGAGTCGTATACATGTCTATATTTTCATTTAAATTTTCTTGCTCGTAGGCATTTTTATAAATTTATAAATAAAAGAAATCTGTTTCATGTCATTTCTTCAAGAAATGGGAAATAATAAATGAGATGAGGTGTTGTAATTATTTACATTGTTTTTGTTGTCCGCATCTTTATTCACATGTTCCCGACGTTTCGACCGGTGTACGCTCCGGTCTTCTTCAGGTCATTTGAATTTCGAACTGAACCCTTTATTTCGTCCTCTGGCGGTAGGTTGTTCTAGTTCCACGTGTCATGCCCCTTCCTGATGTCTCAGTTATCTCCCTTTAACTCAACTCACCATGTTTTTTTTCTTTTTGTTCACCATTGCTGTGGCCAGGTATTAAACTCACAGGTATTGAACTCTTTGGGTCAAGTCACTGGATCCAGCCAACACGTCCACCCACTGGGCAATGTGTCGTTGGGGAAATTATGCATATTTTATTTTAGTTCATATATTTTATTATACTTCGCACATTTCAATATACAGTGCTGTTCGATAAAAGTGACTCACCTGATTATTTTTTTTTTTTTTTTACTAAATGTTCTCTTCTCCGATGAAACGAAAGTTGAGCTAAATTCAAAGGATAAGCGATCTAAAATCCGAAGAAGAAGCTTTGAAAGTTCTTTGAATTTAGCAGTAAGGACTGTCAAGCATCCATTCAGTATAATGTTCTGGGGATGCTTTTCTTTTCATGGAACTGGTTTCTTAAAACCTATTGAAAAGACCCTCAGGAGCGAGCAGTACAAGAGAATTTTAGAGTCTTGTCTGCTCCCTTCTGCTGAAAGGGTGCAAATCGACCCCATCAAGCTAATTTTTATGCAGGATAATGCTCCCTGTCACAAATCAAAATTGATGAAGGAATACTTTGATGAGAAGCAGGTGAGTGTTAGGACATGGCCGCCCCAATCTCAATAATTTTAACTTTTATTAAAAACGACATTCTTGTACATGTAGTTACTGATAATATTATAAATTAATTACTAATTTCTTTAATTAGTAACCATTTGAGCTCAGTTGTTGACAGTTATAGCTATCTGCTGATGTGTTAAAATTTTGAAATAATGCAAAAATAAAAATTCAAATTTTATCTCTCTGACAGATGTCGCCATCCTTAAACTACAAATAATGTGGGGTGCTAAAAAAGAGAGACTATTCCCAGTTTGCATTGCCCCATTATAGACATTAATATATCCATATTTACATTGTTCACACTATCGTCTTCATCTTTGTTGCCATATTTATCACAACGTTTCGGCCGTTGTACGCTCCGGCCTTCTTCAGGTGCTAAAAATGAGAGACTATTCCCAGTTTGCATTGCCCCATTATAGACATTAATATATCCATATTTACATTGTTCACACTATCGTGTTCCTCTTTGTTGCCATATTTATCACAACGTTTCGGCCGTTGTACGCTCCGGCCTTCTTCAGGTGCTTAAAAAGAGAGAATATATCCATATTTGTTTTTATTTTTTTTATCTAGCTCAGATATTCATGAGTCTTTGATGCCAACCACCACGATTCAGGATCAACGTTGGAATGCTGGGGTCCTGTGACATTACATAGTTTGTCAATATATGTGGTTGCTGTGCGATAAACCCGCCTTGTGACATGGCCATGTGTCCAGTGCAAGTAGATCACACGAAAGTCCTTCTTTGCTTACCAGTAGTTTTTTGCAAAGCACATATTATAGAAATATTAAGGTGGGTCCACAGAGCTGGGATTTAGTTGGATGTTGTCTCCAAGACAGGAGGCACGGTGGAGTAATGGATAGCGTTTCGGATTGAGGAATCGGTGAGCCGAGTTCGAATTCCAGTCGAATCCATTATATTCACTTACGTGCTAATACACTTGAGAACAGTAGGAATCCCCTTCTTCTCTCCCACCCCCAGCTATGGTTTCTGGGTTCTTTAGCCTCGGATGTTTTTTTTTGGTCTACCGCAGAAAGAAATGGCAAAATACTGCGAGAAAAAATCTGCCTCGCCAGTCATGTATCACTCATGGCACATAACTGACTGACTGACTGACATACTAATACCCTTGGGAAAAGTATGAATCCTCTTCTTTTCCCCTCAGTTATAGGTAAATAGGGGGAGAGATCCGGTTCTATAGCCTTGGATGGCAACTAGTCTACCGCAGAAAGAAATGGCAACCAACTGCGGGAAAAAATTTGCCTCGTCAGTCATGTATCGAAAGATAAATGATCGCCTAAGCATGGCACATAACTGACTGACTTCCTCCAAGAGATGTTAAATATAGTTCTCAGATACCCGAGTGGAGGTTCAAGTGTTTTACTTAATGCCCAAAGAAAGCTCCGTTTGAGGTTGTCTTGTAGATCGGGAGGCACGGTGGAGTAATGGATTGAGGAATCGGAGAGCCGAGTTCGAATTCCAGTCGAATCCATTACATTCACTTACGTGCTAACACCCTTGAGAAAAGTGTGAATCCTCTTCTTCTCCCTCCAGCTATGGGTAAATAGAAGGACAGACTGGGTTCTATAGCCTTGGATGGCAACTGGTCTAGGAGAAGGAAAACTCTGAATTCAAACCTGCTCTTAGAGGAGGGTGAATGGAGTCTCTCTGAGCCTTGGTTGGCAATCCATTTAGTGTTGGTGTCACGATAAAAACGCCCTTGATAGCCCTAGCAAAGCATCAAGAATTCAGCTACTTGACAAGATTATGAACTACACCAATCAAAGTATTGGTGAGTTCAATCTCGGCTGAGGCCGCAAGTTGATGATATCGAATTTCCGGATTATATATTCTTAAACTAATTCATAAGCATTTCAATCAGTCTGCAACGCTAAAAAATTTTTCAATAAAACGGTCAAAGTTAGCTAGAATACAATATATGTCACAATATTCTAAAAATGCATGACCAAGCTACAATACAAACACCCAGCCGTAATTAAAGAATGCGACTGTGGAAAAAAAAAATCTGCCCACTAAACGGCAAATGCAAAATTAGGTAATAGAGCTAACATCGAATATGATGACGAGGTCAAGTTCTATTTCGGTTCTCTGAAAACGATTGTAAATCATGTTTCTACAATTATCAAATGATATTAGGCAATATTGAATATAGGAATAGCACTACCCACTCTAAATTTTTCTGAAAAATAAAAAAAAGCGAGAATAGGAACCCAACTACTACCTGGGATTATGTTATAAAAGCTAAAACATTCAGCGACAAAGGCGATGAATGTAGCTTATGTCTTCCTAAAAAGTTAATGATTCTAAATATATAGGCTACCGTAAATTTTAAACAAAAGAGGTGAATTAATGTGCCCTTGCATACATATAAATAAAATCCTGCTCAACGACGTTGATATAGTTTTCTTTCGGACGCCAAAGATGCTGGTTACAATGTTGCTATTATTATTATTATTATATTATTAATATATATATATATATATATATATATATATATATATATATATATATATATATATTATTATTATTATTATTATTATATAATATATATATATATATATATATATATATTATTAATATATATATATATATATTATTAATATATATATATGTATATTACTATATATTAATATATATATATATATATATATATATATATATATATATATATATATATATATATATGGTGAAGCTTAATTTATGTTACAAATGAATCATTCATTGAAAAAGTAAATTAGTAAAGTTAATGATATAAAATGGAGAAATCGCTTCGTTAACATAATTTTAAAGTTGAATTAACCCACTAACCATTCAATGAATGTTATGATCCATGTTTTTTTTTTTTAATTATAAACTGTATTAGGTCTTCCTTAAATATCCAAGTAAATATGCATATTAGTAAAAAAACGTTCTCCCTTAAGTTTTAAAAAATTCAACCTTAGCGTTGCGACTGCACGCTCCACAAGTTTGTATCTGTTATCAATAACACATTTCAAAAAATATTTCGAATTGCATTATATTTTTTCGTCTCGAATGCTACCTGGATTTTGCCGAAAAGAAAATAGTTTCCATGCTTGATGATGACCGGAGGATCCGACGAAAGTAATTGCATATTTAAGGAAGATCTAATACAGTTTATAATTTAAAAAAAAAACAAGGATGGTAACATTCATCAAGTGGCTAGTGGGTTAATGCATGTTTAAAATTTAGTTAGCGAAGTGATTTCGCCATTTCATATCATTAACTTTGCTAATTTACTGAATGATTCATCGTAATATATATATATATATATATATATATATATATATATATATATATATATATATATATATATATTATAGTTTTGTCTATTTATTTTGTCTATTTATTTTAAGTAAGTTCATGCAACAAAAACAGACTATCATTATTGTTTCGTCCGTGTATTGTTTGATATATTGAAATGTAATTGTCATCTTTGATAATGGCTTGTGTAAGCCGAAAGCTTAGAGTGGATTTAAACATGTATCAATATGGTGATTTCCTTTCGTCTTTTTAATAATAATGTTATTAAAGCTTATTAGACAATATGAAAGGAACTTACTTAAAATAAATAGACAAAACTTGTCTATATTATTTAATGAAACATGCATTAATGAAAAATTGCTGCCTAAATATAGACAAACACACACGCAGATATATATATATATATATATATATATATATATATATATATATATATATTTATATATATAAATTATTATTATTATTACGATGACCTATCATTTTATCTTTACTATTTTTACTATATCACCATTATTCTTTAATGCATTACTATTATCAATATTATTTATTGCTATTATTATAATTATTACTTTTGTTAACATTTTATCACGGCAAAACGTTTTATTATTAATTGATACTGTTTGCATCAATGAATTCACTGTCGCCAATTACATAAAATTGATTTCTTGAAAGACGTTGAGATCGTGTCTGTTGTATGACTTTGACTTAGACCACAGTTCAAACAATCCCATGCATGTTACCAATCGGGCGATTACGCGTCCCACAATCTATTAAGGTTACGAATACCATATGTGCTCCAACCGTAGCAGCAAAGATGCGTCCTGGGCTGGCATTCCATCCTGGGTATGACGATAAACATAGAACCGCCTCTTAATTGCTGTTGTTCCCAAGTCTACCCTGATCTAGGGTAGTAGCACCTGTTAGGGTCCCAGCTTTGGACAAATAGTGAATCCCCAAATTGGGGTCAAAAAATGAAAATATAAAATCAATTAGAAAAAAATTACCAACAATATATTATTGGAGGAAAAAAAAAAAAAAAAGAAATAATAGTGCTCACAAGAAAATAAAATTTCGGCATTAAATGACCCATAAGGTGTTGATATGCCGATAAACGAAACCAAACTTACGGCTTGTTTTGAATTCAGTTTTCCTTCTCCTGACCGAGTTGCCGCTCGAAGCAAAAGAGTCTCGTTAAAATGGATTCATGCCTTTCCCGAGAGGGATAGTGCGTAATGAACGAAACAAGATCGAACCGAACAGATATTGAACACCGATTTCACTGTCCGCGCCGATAATCGATCTATTAGCCGTGCGACCGCATGAGGTTTGCTAATAGTAAAACGAATATTTGTCAGTGTCCCAGACATTTTTTTAATTTTTTTTTTTTTTTTTACCAGTTGTAGGGCCAAGAGATGAAATGCACTGCTATGTCCTTGTGTCAGACTTGGCTTCATCTTGTTTCATGTTAATGTACAATAAGGAAAAACATAAACCGACATGGACACACAATTATTATGCATCATTTGTAAGTCTGTTAAATCGATCGTAATTCAAAATAACTTTGTTTTGCTTTCTTTTTGCTTGTTCATATTTTCTTTTGCTTCGGCGAAAACAAATATTCCGGGCTGCATCTTGATGGATGAGGTCAGGCTTCATAGTGACTTCAAATTAGTGCTTTGAACTTCTTAGAAAGGAAATGAAGTTGCGCCTAAAATCAACTCAGACATTATATATATATATATATATATATATATATATATATATATATATATATATATATATAGAAAGTGTGTGCATATAAACAAACTCACATTAATCCAACTATATATATATATATATATATATATATATATATATATGTGTGTGTGTGTGTGTATGTGTATATATATATATAAAAATATATATATATATAAAAATATATATAAATACATATATACAAATACATATATATAAATATATCAAATATATATAAATATATATGTATACAAATATATTGAAATATATATATATATATATATATATATATATATATATATATATATATATATATATATATATATATACAAATATATATGTATATAAATATATTGATATTTATATATATATATATATATATATACATACATATATATATATATATACACATACATATTTAAATATATATTTTTCCCTCATCGGTAGCAACGTCTCGGATTTTCATTGTATATTTATTAATGTATAGTTTATAGCTCCGTTATATTGCATCGAGCACTATTTTATTAACACCAGCACATTTAATGTTATATATATATATATATATATATATATATATATATATATATATATATATATATATATATATATATATATATATATATATATATATATACAAATATATAAATTGCACACATATATATGCATATATATATAGAGAGAGAGAGAGAAATATACACACACACACACATATATATACATATATATATACGCACATAATCAGTATATCTATTCAGCTGTTGTTCTTTTAAACAAGTTAAAAGCAACAGTTACATTACGATTGCGTTACATTTATTTAATCATTTCACCCCAAGCAAGGCAATAAAGCCACTCAGATGTAAAGGGTTACTGCGTGTGATGGAAGAGGAGAAAAAACATTATTACAGTGAGAGTACAATAAAAGATCAGGAATTAAAACGACCGAAAATAACGATTGACATTGCATTTAAATTTTTGAAGATCAAAGTTGATAGAAAAGCAAAAAGCCGGAAGAGAGTTCCACAAACAAGAAGTGCGAGTGAAGGAATTGTTAACATAGAACCTACGGTTACATCTAGCCATTTCGGCTGTAAAATTATGAATTCATAAATTCATCAAATCTAGGCAACAAAGATGAAAGCTCATCAGAACAATGACCATGAAAATATTTATAAAAAATGCTCAGCTACGATATGGTGGGTAGAAAGTAACTTGATCCGAGATGCCAGGACACAACCAATAACATTGCAGATTACTCTTTATATTTTATCAAGAATCTATAAATACATACCAGAAGTACCAGGCCAGATGTGACAGCAATATTCAAAGCATGGATGAATGGTGGACTTATACGCAAGATAGTTTGCAGAAGTACCAGGCGAGATGTGACAGCAATATTCAAAGCATGGGTGAATGGTAGACTTATATATACGTAAGATAGTTTCTGGAGAAAAAAATTGTCTAATAAGACACAATGAACGATCTTTCCTAGCAGCAGACCTAATAATGGCTTCAATATATTCATGTCAGTGGAAAAACGGTAGTCCAAGAAAGGGTATCAATTCACTCTCCTGGAAGTTAGCATCAGCCATGTTGATGGAAGGCAAAAGGGTTCATATAAATTATTTTTATATCACCCCCAGCAAGGCAGTAAAGCCACTAACACACAAGGGGTTACGGTGGTATGAAGGAATTAGTAGCAGAAAGATTAGTAATGAGGAAAAACAAAAGAGCAATCAGGAGGACAGTAGATAGCGAATGACATTGCATTTCAATTTTGGCAGATTAAAGTTGACTGGAAAGCAAGAAGCCAAAAGCGAGTTCCACAAGCAAGAAGTACGATAGAAGAAACGGTTATCTGTCTATATTTCTGAGATGAGGTATTATGTACATTATTATTATTATTATATAGTGCGAATAATGCAAATAAGAAACGGTTCGTATAGAAAATATGTTTGCACCTAGCCAATTCAAAATGATGGGACCATACCATCAATCTATTACTACATTTGAATTCATAAAGTCAAGGTACAAAGAGAAAAGTTCATCAGAAGAATTACCATGAAAATATTTATAGAAAAGACACAGGAAAGCTATGTTGTAGGGCTGGGAAATTGACCAAAGTCAAGATGCCAAATAAGATCAACAACTGTCTATATTTCAAATGTACACTATTTACATTATTCAGAATATGTCCTCAAATTTATTACAACGTTCCGAAAGAACAGTATCTGTCTATATTTCTGAGATGAGGTATTATGTACACTATTTACATTATTCAGACTATTGTCCTCATCTTTGTCGCCATATTTATTACAACGTTAAAATTTCAGTATCTGTCTATATTTCTGAGATGAAGTATTAATTTACACTATTTACATTATTCGGACTATTGTCCTCATCTTTGTCGCCATATTTATTACAACGTTCCGGCCTTTCAGTATCTGTCTATATTTCTGAGATGAGGTATTATGTACACATTATTCGGACTATTGTCATCATCTTTTCATATTTATTACAACGTTCCGGCCTTTCATATTTGTCTATATTTCTGAGATGATTTATACACTAACATTATTCGGACTATTGTCCTCATCTTTGTCGCCATATTTATTACAACGTTACGGCCTTTCAGTATCTGTCTATATTTCTGAGATGAGGTACATTTTACATTATTCACTATTTCCTCATCTTTTCGCCATATTTATTACAACGTTCCGGCCTTTCAGTATCTGTCTATATTTCTGAGATTGTATGTACACTATTTACATTATTCGGACTATTGTCCTCATCTTTGTCATATATTTATTACAACGTTTCGGCCCTTCAGTATCTGTCTATATTTCTGAGATGAGGGCCTTCTTCACTATTTAAATTATTGACTATTGTCCTCATCTTTGTCGAATTGAACCCCGTTTATTTCGCTCATTTGGAATGTCGAACTGAACCCTTTATTTCGCTCATTCGTAGACTGTTCTAGTTCCCATGTTTAATGGATGTCAATTATCAGTTGTCTCCTGTTAATTCCCCTCGCCAAGTTCTCCATTGCCTTAATAGAACTCACAATCTTTGGGTCCTGTCACTGGATCTAACCAACGCCTTTATCCACTGTGCCATGTGTCCTTGAGGATAGAATGTGCTTTCTTATTGATATGACAGTCTCTGCAGATTGTAATATATCTTTGGAGATCTTCAAAAAAACTCTCAAAATACAAGGATTTTGAAATCGAAATCTCAAAATTGTGGCACATAAGGACATCAATAATTTCAGTTGTAGTTGGAGCCCTCGGATTGATTGGAAAATGTTCCAATAGACTCAATGAATGGATTCCTCGTAATCAAGCCTTAAAGAAATACAAAAATGGACTCACAAGTGCAGGCCATACTTTACGAAAGATTTTTACTTTCAGCCATTCAGTTCCGTCCGTGAAAAACGGTATTGTTATATTATGGATATAGTAATGCCCATAATGGGGGAAATGCAAATGGAACAATAAACCTTTCTTCCGTAGTTCTCTCCCGTTACAACCCTAATGAATGCACCTAGAACTATTACACTGGACGTCATCACACTGGACGTCATCACACTGGACATATTGGGTTTGAACCTCAGCGTCAGTTTGTTGGTGTGTGTAGCACTCTCACTCGGTATTATTATTATTATTATTATTAATAATAATAATCCAGAAACAAATGACCATCTTGCATCAGGCTGCACTGGAAAATATGCGACTTTAACGAGAAGGAAACCTCATCCATACCCGGTTACAGACATAGGATCTGTAGCAGTCTTATGAGACTTTAGAATACAACGTTCTGGGTATGACGATAAACTACATCCGCGTCCTGGGTAAGACGATAAACTACGTCCAACAGCAAGGCCTCTGTTTTTAAAAAATAAATATTTGATATACATTTTTGATATACATTTTTGAAGGAAAAATGTTACCATAAATAGATTTTGACAAAACAAAATATTACCAGCAATAAAAATTTTGTCGGCATGAAATAACCCATTGAGGTTGATATGCCGTAAAACATACCAAACCAAACTTACAATACACCCAGACAGAACAATGATTCACCCCGACATCGTAATCAAAGATCACAAGAACTAAATTTGCTTTCTTATTGACATGGTAGTCTCTTTAATATATGTTTGAAGATCTTCAAAAAACTGCCAAATACAAAGATTTTGAAAACGAAATCTCAGAAATGTGGCACATGAGGACCTCAACAATTTCAGTTGTAGTTGGAGCCCTCGGATTCATTGGAAAATGTTCCAATAGATTCATTGAATATGTGACTTTAACGAGAAGGAAACATCACTCATTCGCACCTTTACCAAAAGGTATTTGCGTGTAAGTGAATATAACGAACCCGACTGGAATTGGAACTCGGCTCTTTGATTTCCAAATCCAAGTCGTTATCTACTACACCACCCGCACATCGAATCTTAAAGCACTTGGTATTTCCGTGCGTGATATGGCCGTAAGCCGAACACATGTCGAAAGCCGTATGAAAGGCAATATAGAACAGGCTATCCCTGGATACAATTTCCGAATTCTAAACAGCTCGCCGAAAGAAAGATGAGAATTGAGATAATGAAGCAGAATTGTATCGATATCAAGAGCCAATATCTTGTTTGGGAAAATATTTGAAAATCAACGGGTGTTCTTTGTTTTTGATCCCCGATGATGTCTATATCAAAACATTCAACGGGATAATTGGAAAATTTCCCCGAATGTCTTGTGCTGTATGCAACTCCCGGGGATCCAAACATTCAACTCGCAGTCTTAAGGTCTACGGATCAATTTCCAATACAACAACAGAGATAAACTGACTGGCAAAAGATATGTGAAGTTACTGATTAAGCAAAGAAAAGTATTGGATTATCGGATGAATCTTGTTATCACAAATCGATCGAAAGACCTTTCCGAGCCAATTGGTTTGATTGATTTTGTTTAGCCGCATTCCGTCTAAAATCTTTTCATTCTCCTTCACTCCCAGTAAATCCGTTGAGACTTAGTGGCATTATCGCCCTTACTTGGAGTTAAATGATTAAAATATATATATATATATATATTAACCTCTACGGGTTATTTAAAGCCGAAATCTAAATATTTTACGGCTTCAACTACAGATATCTTGAACGCAATTTTAGATTTTCAGTTTAAACGCATGCGTTGTAGATTCTATAGTTTGTAGATGGTCTATTGTAAATGTCGTATCTTTTTGCCTAAACATATTTTTTAAGGTAGGTGGTTATGTTGACTGTTTCAGTATTTTCAAATAGTTTTCTCATGTTGTTTTCCTTGTAGAAATTATGTCTTACAGGTAACTAAGTGATCGGTTTGGTTGATTGTTTATGGGTTATTGCTGTGACAATATTTGGCTAGTGTGGCACGGTAGTTGAGAATTTAAATTTAAAGCCGAAATAAAAATATTTTGGGGGCAATTTTATGGCTTCAACTACATAAATTTTGGACAGAATTTTATACTTTCGTGACAAGCGTGTGTTTAATAATATGTACTTTATAGATAATCTGTTGTAAGTGTTATATATCTCGGTATTGTTGCGGGTGGATAATGACACGCAAACAGATTTTAAATGATGGAGGGCAGCAAACGACGAAAACTTGAGTAAAAAATATATTGACAAGTTTTTTTTTTTTTGTTTTTTTTTTCGTTAAAGAAAATATATTAAGAAAAATAAGGTTACAGGGCACTAGGTATAGAATATCTCAGCATGTTCATGTTGTGGGTAAGAAGTGGGTGGTCCCGAAAGGGACATTTTTTAGACACTGAAAAGGAGAGTTTTGTCGTCGCTGGAGAGCATTATCATGAAAAGGAGAGTTTTGTCGTCGCTGTAGAGCATTATCATGAAAAGGAGAGTTTTGTCGTCGCTGGAGAGCATTATCACGAAAAGGAGAGTTTTGTCGTCGCTGGAGAGCGTTATCATGGAAAGGACAGTTTTGTCGTCGCTGGAGAGCGTTGTTATGAAAAGGACAGTTTCATCGTCGCTGGAGAGCGTTATCATGATAAGGACAGTTTCATCGTCGCTGGAGAGCGTTATCATGAAAAGGATAGTTTCATCGTCGCTGGAGAGCGTTATCATGATAAGGACAGTTTCATCGTCGCTGGAGAGCGTTATCATGATAAGGACAGTTTCGTACTTGCTGAAAAGTGCCGTCCTTTAAAGAACAGATTATTGCTGCTACCGAGAATGGCCAAAGTGACGAACGATGGTAAGCTAGTGCTACAGACGATGATGGCCTGTTGGAATTGCTGTTGATGGTTGGAGCCGTGGGTCGTCTGTCGGCTGCTGGAACAAATACTACGCTTTCATTCCAGTCATCTGGGCCACGTAATGTAATATTTACCCATGTCTCCCGACTGGGATGTTACACAAGGTCAGGTTTATTGTGGAGAAACCGAGCGGGTACACTCCGCCTAGATATAAAAAAAAAATTGTCCTATCTCCACCACCGTCGGTTGCGCTGGCATCAGTATGAATACTAACCACAGCTCTCTAGTGCTATGAGGAGGAGCAGCTCTTCCCCGGGACCGGGCATCTCACAGTTTTGGTTTTCCCCAGCTGCGTCTCTACCCGTCAGCACAACTGAGTCGCACTCTGCCCGAAGACAGAGATGCAACTGAGAGATGATAATCGTTAATCCTTAAATCCCTTTTATATCCTGCAGCAGTTTTACAACGATCGCTGATTAAGCTTTTTCTTCCGATTATTTTAAAAAGACCATTGGAGTGCCCACAGGATACGACAGTAGTGAAGCTAAGGTTGTATTGATTTCCATTTTGCTATAAAAATGTGTTGACGGTAATTTCACTATAATAAATGTATTGATGGTAATGTTTTTTTTAATAAAAAGGCATTGCTGGCATTTTTACGATAAAAATGTGTTTTTGTAATTTACTTGTTTTGTTTTTGCCGGCGGGGGGGGGTTCAATATTTGGCCAAATATGGGGGCTTTAACAGGTGCTACCACTCTGCTCGTAACCTCCAATCTACCAATCAGATACCTTGCTACCGAATATATTTTGTTTTTATACCCAGGACTATTTCCGATGCAAAAGCGGGACTTTTCTTTAAATTGCCCCTAATAAAAAAGATCACTGGTGCCTATGAATAGGTATAGGCTACATTGGTATGGACTTTTTACTTATGGCGTGAAAGGTTGATAGTCCAGAATTTAGAAAGATGAGTTTTTTGGGGGTTTTTTTTCAGTGAACGTGCACATGATGGTGCAACTGGCTCAGACGATTACAATCGAGACTTACTTTGTTACGTTGACAAGATTGAATCATCCTCATCCCCCCCGTGTAATCCTTTGATAAGAAGGATGTTTCACTCAGAACTGCTCCACTGTGGAACACATTACTGCGTGGGTGTTTTGCTGAACATTTCAAAAGCCGAGATGCTAGATCAGGGCCGATAACATTACAGATTCTTCTTTGGAGTTTGTCAAGAATATCTATATACATAGCAAGCATCAGACAAGATGTGACATTAATATTCAATGCATAGGTAACCGGTCGACTTATAAAGATAGATTCTGGCGAGACAAAAATTGTCTAGAACGGCACAGTGAACCAACTTTTCTAGCAGAAAACAGTAATTGATTCATATAATTATGTCACTGTTCCGGCAGTTAACATCAGCCACGGTGATAGAAAGTAAAAAGTTTTCTCCAAGACGATTAAAAAAGAGCAGTTTCCTTCAGGAGGTGTTAAAATTAACAAGCCTTATTTTGACTCAGTGAACAACAGAATGTAGATCAATTTTAGATCAGCTGCCAATTTAACTTTATCGAACCGATGAAAATTATCATTAAAGCTAGAAGTAAGTAGGGCGTCATCAGCATTGATACCGAGTCTTTAACTGATGACATCAGGAATGTCGTCAATGAAAATTAGTAAGAAAGTAGGTCAAAGGATAAAATTCTGGGTGACATCCAAATTAATGCAAAATGATCGAGAAGAGTGGCCGTTCAAGATCACTTTCATTTCGAGATTAGATGAGAAAGATTGAACCAGATCAAAAATGCACGTGATACATGATTGACCAATGAGCATCGACCCAAACGAAAAATATCAATGTTCTGTCTTTTTGCCTGTTTTCTCTCAACCTCTGACGAAGCTTTAATAAAAGTGAAAATCGACAAATAACTCTCTATTTTATCTTTTTACTTTAATAGCTTCTTTTTCTTCTTTACCAATGAGCTTAATTAATCTCATATCTCTCTTTTTACTTTAAGGGCTTCTTCTTCTTCTTTTTCTTCTTCTTTTTCTTCTTCTTCTAATTTATTCCTCATTCTTCTTTTTTTCGCTTCCAATTGTTTATTTTTCTTCTTGCCTTTCTGTTCATCTTCTAACTGGCTCCCTTTTCTTCTTCTTCTACTTTTCTTTTTCTAATTGACTCCCTCTTCTTTCTCTTCCAAATATTTCTCTACTTCTTCTTGTCTCTCTGTTCATCTTCTGACTCCCTTTTCTTTTTTCTTCTTCTAATTGAGTCCATCTTCTTCTTTCTCTTCTAATTGTTCCTCTATTTTTTATTCTTCTTGTCTCTCTATTCTTTTTAATTGACTCACTCCTTTTCTTTTACTTCTCTTACTTTTCCTCTTCTATTTGACACGCACTTCATGTTTTTCTTTTTCTTGTCACTCTATAATTCTTCTAATTTAATCCCTCCATTTTTTCTTGTTTTTCTCCATTTTTCTTCTAATTGACATCTTCTTCTTCTTTTCTTCTTCTTCTTCTTCTTCTTCTTCTTCTTCTTCTGCTGCTGCTGCTGTTGCTGGCAAGCGAAAAGAAATTTCTTTTTTTTCTTCTTTCTTCTTTCCTTTCTTCTTCTTCTTCTTCTTCTTCTTCTTCTTCTGTTGCTGCTGCTTTCTGCTGTTTCATTTCTTTTTTTCTTTTCTTTTCTTCTTTCTTTTTCTTTCTTCTTCTTCTTCTTCTTCTTCTTCTGCTGCTAATTGCTGCTCTTTGTTTCTGCTTCTTTTTTTTTTTTTTCTTCTTCTTCTTTCTTTTCTCTTCTTCTTCTTTTCTTCTTCTTCTTCTTCTTTTTCTGCTGCTGCTGCTGCTGCGAAATTTTTTTCTTTTCTTCTTCTTTTTTCCTTTTTCTTCTTCTTCTTCTTCTTCTTCTTCTTCTTCTGCTGCTGCTGCTGCTGCTGCTTCATTTCTTTTTCTTTTCTTCTTCTTCTTTCCTTTCTCTTCTTCTTTCTTCTTCCAATTGCTTCTCTATTTTTCTTCTTCTTGTCTCTTTATTCTTCTTTCTAATTAGTTCACTATTTTCTTTTGCATCTAAATTGATTCCTCCTCCTCCTTCTTTCTCTTTTTGTCTTTCTATTCATCTTCTTCTAATTGATTCTCTCCTCTTCTTCCTCGTCTCCTCCTCCTCCTTTTCATTTTTTCTTTTTCTAATTGACCCGCTCTTCTTCTTTCTCCTCGAATTGTTTATTCTTGTCTCTCTATTTCTTCTTCTTCTTTTTTCTTCTTGTTCTTGTTCTTCTTCTTTTTCTTCTTCTTCTTCTTCTTCTTTCCTTTCTCTTCTTCTTTCCTTTCTCTTCTTCTTTCTTTTCCAATTGTCTTTCTATTTTTCTTCTTCTTTTCTCTTTCTTCTTCTTTCTAATTGGTTCACTATTTTCTTTTTTACATCTCAATTCTTCTAATTGATTCCTTTTTCTTCTTCTTCTTCTTCTTCTTCTTTTTTTTCTTCTTCTTCTTCTTTCCTCTCTCTTCTTCTTTCTTTTTCAATTGTCTTTCTATTTTTCTTCTTCTTTTCTCTTTCTTCTTCTTTCTAATTGGTTCACTATTTTCTTTTTTACATCTCAATTCTTCTAATTGATTCCTTCTTCTTCTTCCCCTTCTTCTTCTTCTTCTATCTTTCATTCATTCCGTTTTCTTTCTTTTTTTTCCTTCTGCTTCTCTCTTTCGCTTACTTTTCTTCTTGGATTTATATCCCTCCCTCACTTACTAAGCTAGCTTACAATGTTCTTAAAAAAATTATCACTTTTAAATTAAAACGAAATATCAGTAACGAAATACACTTTCTGTCAAATCAGAATCTAACAAAAAAGAAAAGAGAAGAAAAACGAAACCCTTAATTACATCCGTCTACCTTTTATCTTCGTCGGCGACTGCCATTTTGTTGTCTTCTTTCTGCAGAGATATTCAATGTTTTCTCTTTAGGCCTTTCTATTTTATTAAAATATTTCGTTTGACATGTTTGTCTTGAGTAATAAAAGCCAGCCTAAAGCACAACTTTTCAAAATAACTTAATAACTGTCTGAGATCCATTAAAAACCGACTTCAGTAATGTCAATGTTCTCGGTGGCACCCAAATGAACACGCTGGATGTCAGACTGTTCTTGAGTTGTTGTTTTTTTATTATTATTTAAAAATGGCTTACAATGTACTTGCGCAGTAATCATGCGCAGAATCTTTTGTATTTCAAATAAAGATGGATTTGTCTGAGTATTGTATTATAATTATGCTTGTCCCTTCATTACTTAGTGTTGTATCTCGTGTTTTTCAGATAACAGGGGGGGGGAATTAAATAGGGAAGACAGACTCGTAGGTAAGTAGATTTACTTGACCCCCACTGAGTCAAGTTGTGACACAAGGTCAGTCTTTAACATGGGAACCCTAGTGTTTTCACTCGGGCTGCTCGTCCAAGCAAGTCTTAGCTGGTCATAGCTGGTTAGAGCTTGTCAGAGCTAGTCATAGCTGGTCTTGGCTGGTCAGAGCCGGTCCAAGCTAGTCGTAACCGTGATACCACCAGCACAGGGACGGTGCCTTGTGCGAGGTAAGGAGATTTACTTGAACACCCACTGAGTCATATTGTGACACAAGGTCAGTTTTTAACGTGGAGACCCGAGTGTTTTCACTAGGGCCGCTGGTCCAAAATGGTCTTAGCTGGTCATAACTTGTCCAAGCTGGTCAGAGCTGGTCTAAGCTAGTCGTAGCCGTGATACCACCAGCACAGGGACGGATCACTGTGCCAGGTAAGTATCAACACGTAAGTAAGTGTATTTACTTGCCCCCACCACCCCCAGCTGAGTCAGATTGTGAGACAAGGTCGGTTTTTACGTGTGGCCGCCGGTCCAAGCTGGTCTCAGCTGGTCATAGATTGTCCAAGCTGGTCAGACCTGGTCTAAGCTAGTCATAGCTGGTCTTGGATTGCCCTAGCTGGTCCAGGCCGGAGCCAGTCCAAGATAGTTTAGCTGTGATACCACCAGCACAGGGACGGATCACTGTGCCAGGTAAGTATCAACACGTAAGTAAGTGTATTTACTTGAGCCCCCCCAGCTGAGTCAGATTGTGAGACAAGGTCGGTTTTTAACGTGTGGCCGCTGGTCCAAGTTGGTCTTAGCTGGTCATAGCTTGTCCAAGCTGGTCAGAGCTGGTCTTAGCTAGTCATAGCTGGTCTTGGCTTGTCCTAGCTGGTCCAGGCCGGAGCCGGTCCAAGATAGTTCTAGCCGTGATACCACCAGCACAGGGACGGATCACTGTGCCAGGTAAGCATCAACTTGTAGGTAAGTAATGAAATAGTTTTACTACACGAAGCTACACTTAGCAACTGACATAATGCTAAATCTGCTGAAATCCGCTTAACTCTGCTTATTTACATAAACGGTCGATCCCATTCATGTATTTCTTATATGACAGATACTTAGAATCAGATTAAGATTGGTGAATTGATATTGATTCAAACAACAGGTAAAATAAAGACATTTCCTTATTCAGGATTTCAGAAAAGCTGTGAGCATCAAATTTTCCAAGCCCTCTTTCTCATTATGTGTACCAGAAATTTCAAACAGTCTGTTCCTAAAAAAATCTTACAATCTTAATATATTTTCTGGATTTAAATAATCAAAAATAAATGTTGGTAAACCGTAAAAAAATAATTAATCCATCAGAGACGCTGTTTATTTTGCGGTCTTTTGCGAAATCATCCTTATTATAAAACCCAGGTTGTGTGTGTGTGTCTGTTCGTTTATATATTGGATCGGATTTCCTACATTTTTCAACCGATTTCAACAAAACTTCACAGGACTACGTAAAATTACTTTGCGGTGGTTCTGACAGCGCCAAAAAATTGGAAAAACACAATTGTTTTTGTACGAAATCAATTTAAAAACACGATTAAGAGGCATCACTGTCGCCACAATGAAAGCGGGAACAACTCATATCGAGTTATACTTATTATAAAAACCCAGGTTGTGTGTGTGTGTGTGTGTGTGTGTGTGTGTGTGTGTGTGTGTGTGTGTGTGTGTGTGTGTGTTCGTTTATATATGTGATCGGATTTCCTACATTTTTCAACCGATTTCAACAAAACTTCACTTTTTTTGGCAGGTAGTTTCTTATTGTCTTGCACACTTTTTTCTTTATTTTTACATTCAGAATGCTTTAAAAAGTCCATTTACAAGACAATTGCTTATAATAAAATTCTATTCAATTGGTAAATTCATAACGATTGAAAACAATGTTTTTGTTTGAGTTTGGGTTTGACCAATTCGTAAAAAAAAACAAAAAAAAAAACTAATTAAGACATGCGTGTCCGTCAACCTTAAACAATAATCTTTGTCAATTTTATTTTTCAGTCTTTATGATGGTCGATACTTGATCTATCTATTACTGTTACATCCCCGGGCAACGCCGGGCTCTACTGCTAGATACCTCTAAAACTGTCTATTCTATGTTCAATATATATATATATATATATATATATATATATATATATATCCTAAAGTAAATGTGTTACAATTGATCCATACAGTGATGTATTCTGCGAAATTAGCTCTATAACTGGAGCCGAATGTGTGTGTGTGTGTGTGTGTGTGTTTTGTTTTTCATTACAATTCGTTACGTTATATTAAATGCTTATCAATCATTTAAACAAAATCGGCTTTTAGTGATAGTTTCAAACGATTTCTATTTCCTGGCTTTTCCTTTTTTTATCGGCAAACTATTTAATCAAGTCTTTGGTTTTTTATATTGGCTGCATATCATTTTTTTTCTACCTATTCTTTGTAAAAATATTAGATTGATATATTTTTTTTTTTTTTGCTTTTCTATTTTTGCTAATATATATAACTCTTTTTTTCTATTTTTGTTTTTTTTACCATTTTTCTTTCTAATTATCCCTCATAAAATATTGGATTGATATTATTTTTTTCTTTCTTTTCTATTTTTCTTTCTTTCTTTCTTTTTTTATTCTTTTTTTTTTTTTCAGGTAAAATATTTGATCGAGTTCTTTTCTTTAATGCATGTCGAAGTAATTTCTTTTTTTTCTTTTCTTTTTTTTTTTTTTTTTTTTTTTTTTTTTTTTTGTCTACCTGCAAAAAGCATTATGGGTAAATGTTTTTCTTCTCGAGCTTTTCACCCACGCAAGGCTATAAATAGAGACGCTCACGCATTTATTCTCTTCAATAAACAATAGACTTTCCCCGGCAATGGAAGTTTACATAAGCCAAACCGAAGAAAATCCACGTCGATCGATTTCTGTGACGTCGAAGGATGACGTGAAAAGCCAAAGCAGGTAAAGAGAGAGAGAGGACGGTTTTGGGAGAGAGAGAGAAATCACTTACGGCCATTAACGAAGGAGTATTCACACCAGGTAAATGTCTATCTGTCTGTGTGAGAGAAAGAGTTTTAGCGAAATACAGAACTAGGTTATCAAAGATTTTACAAACATGCGTACGTGAATGAATAATTATTCTTTTTTTTTTAATAAGCGACTGTACTCCGAGAAAGACGCTCATATTTAAAACCAGTGTCCACTTCAACGTGTTGTAATGGTTAATAAGGTTTTTTCATTAGATCAAACACGACTGAGTAACGAGTTCGATCCTCCCTGTATCTGCATTCTAGCGGCTCCGTGACACATCTAAGCTACGCTTTGTACGTTACTATTCTACTTTTATTTAACCCTTTGTGCCCTGAGTTTCTGAACAATTTTAACCCTTTTGTCTGAGTTATCGAGCTAAAATTCACTAATAATTGGTATGTAATATTTCAAGGTAGATATAAAAATAGTTAAAAGACTATAAGCATTATACTTAGCAGGGAGAGGGTACGATTGCATGCCTTCAGTTTATCGCCAAAATTCTTTCTTTGTGTCCCAGTCTACCCAACAGGTGCTGCCTCTCTTGATGCACGAGAAGAGCTGGCATGTTGTGCAGCCGACTGAAGACTTCACAGCCTTGACAGGATAGTCTTCGTAGGCCACAGTTGGATTTTTCTGCTCGAATTG